GCGGCCCCTCTCTCCTACGGAGAGGAGAGAAACGCCTTCGGCAAGGACACGGCCAGGGGGCCCCTGGCCGGATTTATGAGGCTTACGCCTGACAGCCGGGCGCCGGCAAAAGTAGACCCGTCAGCCCGAGCGGGCGGTGGTGTTGTTGTTGTTGTTGTTGTGGTGGTGGTGGTGGTGGTTGTTGTTGTTGTCGTTGTCGTTGTCGTTGTCGTTGCTGTTGCTGTTGCTGTGGTTGTTGTTGTTGTTGTTGTTGTTGTTGTTGTTGTTGTTGTTGTTGCTGTTGCTGTTGCTGGTGTTGTTGTTGTTGTTGTTGTGGTTGTGGTTGTTGTTGTCGCTGTTGTTGTTGTTGTTGTTGTTGTTGTTGTTGTTGTTGTTGTTGTCGTGGTCGTGGTCGTGTTTTTTTTGTTGTTGTTGTTGTCGTCGTTGTTGTTGTCGGTGTTGTCGGTGTTGTTGTTGTTGTTGTTGTTGTTGTTGTTGTTGTTGTTGTTGTTGTTGTTGTTGTTGTTGTTGTTGTTGTTGTTGTTGTTGTTGTTTGTTGTTGTTGTTGTTGTTGTTGTTGTTGTTGCTGCTGCTGCTGTTGTTGTTGTGTTTGTGGTTGTTGTTGTTATGGTTGTTGGTGTTGTGGTTGGTTGTGTTCTTCTTGTTGTTGGGGGTGTTGGTGTTGTTGTTGTTGTTGTTGTTGTTGTTGTTGTTGTGGTTGTGGTTGTTGTTGTTGACGCTACGTTGCAGGCAACGCGGGGGATAGGACAACAGTCGTGTGGAAGACGGGGGCCGGGACTTCGGGCGTCCCGGCAGCATCCTTCGGTGGAAGGGGGCTGACAGCCCGGGTGTACCCTAGGTGCACCGAAGTCGGGAGAGCCGTCGGGACGTATACCGTATACCAGCCAGGTATGGTAAATTTGGGACTGGTTTAGTTTGTTATGATGTTATGATTGCAATGGTCTAGCATATAGTCGGTTCGCCGCAGACGGTTCGTTGTGTCAAATGTTTTCACCGAGGCAACAACGTTGGATGAGTAGAAGTTAGCAAGTGGAGGGGTACAGAGTTACGAGGGGCAGTGATGGGTAGCCAACATGCTTGTTAACCATACATGGCAGCATCCCCGTTTGCAACCTTATTGGTTATCAGTGTTTAGTGTGGTTAGAGACGATCAAAGGCAGTTGGAAACCACGGCCATGTCTGCGTCTGTCTGACGCGTACACGGCGGGAGCGAGCGCAGAGCAGCGCTCAGCGCTGGCAGCGGCGGTGGTTTAGGGCTGCAGCTTGGTGAAGAAAGGCTCGGCGTGGCCGGTCGCTACAGTGCATCGTAGTCGAACACGACATCGAGGTGGGTGTCGTGCCGGCTGGAACGGCGGTGCTTGGGAGGGAGTAAATTAAGGGATCGGTTATTCGTTGCTGGTTTGTGGATAGCTTATGGACGGTAAAATTGGTGGCTTCTTCGTTGACAACCGATGCAGTCTTTTAGGTTCATAAGTCGTTACTGCACGGAGTATTTTTTCCCAAGCTGCAGCTCTACATCAGGCTCACATCAGCCCGCGTTCATTCAACATCCAGCCATCCCCCTTTTTTTGTGGCTTTGGTTTCCTCGGTTTTTCGTGTTTGATCGAGAACATCCCTGTAAGCAACCTGTGGTTCCAAGCTGTAGGTCGGCAGTGTTCTTTTTGCAGACGGTCGCATTCAGACGTCTTGCGTTTTGGTGACAGGTGTTCGAAGGCGAGTCCGGCGTGTTTGCTGGCGGCCTGGCATGTTTGTGGTAAGCCAGCATGTTTGGAGCCCGCAAGAGCTCGTTTCTCCGACATGTTTGCGATGAGTAACGGCTCGCTTAAGAGAGACTGGAGGGAACTGACTGCCAGAGTACAGAACTGACGCGACTGCAGCAGCACTGCATTAGGAGGACTGCTGAAAACTGATCGCGTGACTGCTGAAACATGGTGACAGGTGCTCTGGGGGCGACTCCGGCAAGTTTGCGGGTGGCCCGGCTAGTTTGTCGCAGCTCGCTTAAGAGAGACAGGAGGGAACTGACTGCAAGAGCACAGACCTGACGCGACTGCAACAGCACTGCGTTAGCATGACTGCTGAAAACTGATCGCGTGACTGCTGAAACATGGTGCTCTGGGGCGACTCCGGCAAGTTTGCGGGTGGCCTGGCTAGTTTGTCTCAGCTCGCTTAAGAGAGACCGGAGGAAACTGACTGCAAGAGTCCTGAACGGATATATCTATATATTTATAGAAATATACTTATATCTATATATATATATAGATGAAACAAAATTTTTCTGTATATATAGCTATATTTTTTTTTTTCGCTTGGAACTGAAGTCAAGGCAGGGAGTTCCCAGCGGCGGGCGGCACGGCCGCACGCTGACCGGGGAAACTGGCAGGGCCCCCCTGGAGAGAAGCGCGACATAAATCCGAAGAGCAGGTAGTTCCCGGCAGCGGGCGGCATAGCCGCACGCTGACCGGGGAAGCTGGCAGGGCCTCTCTGGAGAGAATCCAAACAGTTTGAAGAGCAGGGAGTTCCCGGCGGTGGGCGGCATAGCCGCACGCTGTCCGGGGAAGCTGGCAGGGCCCCCCTGGAAGGCATTAGAGAAGCAAATGGTTTTCCAAGCTGCAAAGGTACAGCTGCCTCATATCAGTCTGAGTTCATTCCACTGCCCGTGACTCCTTTTTTCGTTTTGTAGCTTTCACCCGGTGACTTCTCCAGTCGTGAGTCGGCTTTGGTGTTGTTTGTGCAACGGCTCGTTTAAGAGTGACTGGAGGGAACGGACTGCAAAAGCACAGAACTGAACGGACTGCAGCAGCACTGCATGAGTTAGCATGATTGCTACAAACTGCGTGCATGGCAGCTGAAACATGATGACAGGTGCGCTGGCGGGTGACCTGCCTCGTTTGTCGCACCTCGCTGACGCGAGACCGGAGGGAACTGACTGCAAGAGCAGAGAACTGAACTGACTGCAAATGCGTTGTATGAAAGGTGTGGGAAAGTGATTCCACAACTCTGGATATCTGGTGACAGGTGCTCCATCGCCACTCTGGCTGGTTTACTGGTGGCCTGGCTCGTTTGTTGGGCTCCGAGACGTTTTGAAGAGCCTCGACAAGGATTGCGCACCCTAGGAACACAGTGGGCAACTAGAAATGCGACCCCCCAACTGGCGACCTACTCAAGGTCACTGGGCTGGGGTTGCGTCGTGGCTGTTGCAGTGGGTTGAGCGTGGGCAGTTGACCGAAAGCAGTGTCTCGGAACCGCTGGTTGAAGTAGTCTGTGAAAAAGCTTCATTCAACGAATGTTTCAGCAAGTGTTTCAAACACACCGAGGGGGCTAAACTTTGAACAGGGGACAGCAAACACCGCCACTGGTAAACAAAGTCGGGCACGCAGTTTCTCCGCGGCTGTTGCGACAAGGCTCTAGGCTAAGCAAAGAAAGTCGACAGAGAAGTAAACACATACACCCTTCACGAATGGAAGTAACACGCACACCCTTCACGAACGGAAGTAGGAGACGTAGGCGTAGGAAGTGTAAAACCGGAGCACTGCAGAAAGACATACACGTAAACAGAGAAGAAGTAGGGGGGAAAATGTACTGCACAGAGCAAACCCCGGCAAAGGAGCATTGCACAACTAGAAAATGAGTGGAACACTTGCAGTTGTGCTTGTATAAGCAACGGAGCAAGGACAAAATGAAGCACGCCACCACAGACAACGAATTCGCACAGCACGATTGTCCCAAAGCGGACAGCCATGACACAGTGGGATGCCAGAGCCAGTGCCATACTGCGTGAGCATGCTACCAAGGTAGCTGTCTACAGCATAGCAGTGAGCATGGTGTTCTGGCTTGCTTCCCAGGTCAAGAAGCATTGCTGCGCGCAGCAACAGTCAGTGCATGCTGCGCAGAGCAAGGGGTCGCGCAACCGATCCAGCAAGCACACACACTGGACACGAAGGTTGCCGGGGAAATATACATCTTTGAGCTGGGGCATGGCAGTCACCGCAGCATGCTTGTGTGCCAGCGCAAAACAAATAGATTTACTGTTTGCGGTAAATCTCTTCACCTGTGTCTTTGCATGCCAAGCGCAACGTGCTCTAGCCAGCGCACGACTGCGCAGTGGGTGGGCGAGGAAAGCACGTCGAGTGGGCAAAGCTCGGGTGAAAGCAAGGCGGCAACCAGGATCGCCACGAAGTAGAATGCAAATGGTCATTGCCGCCATCTTCTTGTTCTCACCCGCCAGTTGTGTATGTGTGGAATGCGTTTGCCAGGGAAACATCGCAGCAGTGCAACTAGTCAGGAACGCATGGGCAACCGCTCGCAAACTTAGAAACCAGTTGATGCGTGCAATGCATGGCAACACGATGAAGAAAGCCCACAGACGACAAGCAGAAGCGTCCACACCCAGCCAATTCATAGAAACGAGTGCCGGCAGCAATCACGTAGCTAGCAAGACAGCCAGACTTGCAGACGCAGTGGATGCCGCCTCCTCGCTTCGCGCACAACCTAGCAACCCGAGTTGCCAGAAAGAAATGGAGGAGGATGAGGACCGGAAACTTGCCGTCCGTGTGCAGACCCGAATAGGGTGTGAGCTAATCAGAATCCCTGGTGACGGTTGGTGTTTTTTCCATGCAGTACTTCGCCATTGTTGCGGTTGGCAGTCGTGGTCGATACCCGAAGCTGCAAAGTTATACTTGCAAGCCTTAGAATGGATGTGTAAGCAAAAGAATGGACCCAGAGCAGATGAGGCTGCGATTGCCAGTGTGCCGTTTGATGACCGAGAAGCAGGCCTACACCTGGGGTTCCTTCAGCAAGCAGAGCAGTTGGAGGCAGCAGAAGGTTTGACAGCTGCCGAAATCGTGCTTTGGAGTAAAGTGGTGGCGGTTTTGGAAAAGCCACGGATGGTAGATTCCATTCACCATGGGTCCGTGGTAGAATTGTGGGCACTCACACAAGCCTTTGACTTTCACTGTCTCATTTGGAGCCAAGAAGATAACAAAAACATTTGGATCCGGGACATGGCCTACATCACCGATGCAGAAACACAACAGAAGTTGCAAGAACATCCCAATGTCTTAGAACTTTTCCACCGAAACACTGGCATCACCGGGCACTATGACCTCGTCCAACGCGCGGCAGCATTGCGCGAACCATTCCCTGAAACACCATGGTTGGAAACATGGAGAACACAGAGTGCAGAAGCAGTGTTGTGTCTTGCTGCAGAAAGCCTCCGAAACCCAGTGGAAGTGTCACCCATGTCGCCGCAGAGTCAGTCATCGCACGTTGCAGATCCGAGTGCAGTGTGCGACACCCATGCCGCAGGGGATGCAGAGCGGCCAACAGCAGAGGCAGCCGGGCAATCGCAGCAGACCAGCCGCACCACTGCGACAGAATGGGATGCAACAACGCGGCAGCCAAATCGGTCGCAGCAGGTGCATGACACAACTGAAGCCGACAAAGAGGCAGCCACTGGTGTCTGGGAAGGGCATGACGACGCAGAAGCGTCGGAGGGTGCAGCAACCGACCTAGATTCTGAAAGTTTGCTTTCCTGGGATTCAAACCTATCCGAGACCACAGAGGAGGCTGAAGTCGAAGTCACCGTGGACTCGACAAAGACATGGGTCACTGTTGAAGACCGTGACCAGGACTCGAACACTGCCAGCAACCATCTGCAACGGGATGCGACTCATATGCTGCCCAGAAGATGTCCGCTGCGGACTTTGCGTCGAGAATGCGCTGCAACTGTGTGAGGCTTGTGAACTGCCGTTGTGTCGCAATTGCCTCGAACACATGTGTAAACAGGACGCCTGTGCAGTGCCAGAAGCCCTTGCAAACGACAATTGGTTTGGATACCCAACAGAGTTGTTGTACACCCACAGAGTGCGTTGGATAGAAGCGGCAGCTGCTTCTCCGGTCTGGACTTCCGTCATCAATTACTACCTGGAAGCCGACCGAGGCAACTTGATAGAAGAGCACTTGCATCGGCCCGAACACAGAACCGCAATCCGAGGCAATGTGTCTTCCTTTAGCATTCCATGGGAAGAGGTGCTCGCTGCATTGGCCCCCGAGACTCGGCAGAACACCTCTTGTGAAAGGTTGCCTCACCCGCCACATGTCCTCCAAGCTATTGTCAAAGTCAATGTGAAGGGCATGTTATACAATGAGGCAATCGAGTGGGTAGCAGGAGCACGCATCCGACCCTGGGTCGTCAGTGCACTCTTACATCACCTCATCGACATGCAACATCCAATGTGTGCGTCGCACTTGTCGGCAGAGGAGGCAAAAACAGCAGTGACGCAACGTGTGACCTGGACCTATGGGGTGGACGAAACAAGGCCGCTAGTCGACTTGAACGAAACTTCTTCACCGACTGTGACATCAAACGGCGCGCGCCCCTGCGCGCGACGCCAGAGCAGCGCTCAGGCAGCAGCTAATGTGAACTCAGAAGCAACCAGTGCAAATGACGAGACCGATGCCCCAACCATGAGCGGCCAGAGCTCGTTTCAGCCAGCGTCTGAGGTGCAACATTTCAAGTCTTCTCTTGTGAAAACTGCATCCCCAAAGATCGTTTCCCACCTGCAATCCGAAGAAACAACCCAAGTGTACAGCAAAACGGTTCCACAGCATACAAGCCACAGCGATGAGAACGCAACCTTGCACGACATGCCAACCCAGAGCATGTGCCAGATGGTAGCAGAGAGAAAAGATCAGGGCAGCCCTCCGGTGACAGCTGAAGTCATAGCAGACTCGACCTCGTCACAGAAGCAAGAAGTTACAGTGTCAGCGCTTAGCCACGGCAAGTTTCCATTAGTGCATGTAAAGTCTGAGCGGGATGCCTCGCCGGGCGACGACCTATAACCGCAGGTGACAAGCCAGAGCAGCGCTCAGGCAACCACATCAGACAAAAGCGACGAAAAGGCCACATCGGCTCGTCCGAGCCATTCTCGGATTTTTTTTTCTGCCAGTGAAGACGCAAGCCAGCCGCTGCCGCAGAAGCATGCAACGCCCGAGTCAGTCGCAGACACAGCTTTGAATGGCGAATCCTTCGTAGCCAGTGTGAGACCCAACGTATTGTCACAAGATTACACGGGTGCAGGGTGGAAAGACCCCGACGTCGACATGTTGTTGCAATTAAGCAATGCGACTGACACACTCACCATTCGAACCGGGCACAACTTCTGGGACCAGTGGCAGAATGACTTTCTCCCCTGGGCTTTTCCCTTCAGCCTCCCCGCACCCGTCAGTGGTCCGGACTTTCCCCACAAAGAGCGACCACGGAGGCCCGCAGATGCGCCGCATTTGCAACCCTTGGCACACTTGAAACTCCTGGCCGGACGCATTGAGAGTTCAATTCGCAACTCATGGGATCTGATTCCCGGGCTGCGACGATTGACATTCAAATGGCACTCGGTGTGGCAGGGCTCGCTGTGGCGGAAATGGAAGTCACAACGGCAAGCCATTGCACCGGCACCTATGCTCAAGTGGGTCCAAGCGGCTCGTGGCCTCTACAACAAGCTGAGATCCGGCACATATACCACTGCAGGTGGGAAGCCTAAACCTATACACTTTGACACCCGCAAACTCCCCTATGCCCGCGGCCTCACAACCGATGAAAAGGAATTGCTCCAGGACGTGAAAGGCATGCAAGGCCATATGCCTGGAACGATTGAAGTACGACGTCGGATAGGACGTTTCCTCTTCGGGGCCAGGGTTGAGATGGGAGAACCCCTCTTCATCACCATATCTCCCACAATCCGTCATAACACCTTGTGCATCAAATTCAGCCGCTATCGCGCCGCAGATCCGGGCGGAACCGCCGAAGGAGCGCGCGAGCACCCGAAGCTATGGGAGACGGCAGAAGCGACCATCAACGTGCCGCCATACGACACTCGCAGACAGCTCACTGCGAGGGATCCGTGGGCCGTCGTTCTCAGCTTCCAAACCGTGGTGCAGTGCATCTTCGCCAAACTGCTCGGCATCCGCATGTGCTTTCGTTGCCCAGCATGCGATTGCCGCGATGCACGCGGACACGGGTGTCACGTGACGGGGGGCATCCTTGGCATTGCCAGCGGCCTATGCGGAGCAATCGAATATCAAGCCAATTCCACACCGCATTTCCACTGCAACGTGTACATCGCGTCCATTTGGCGACAATCTTTGAGCGAACTTGCAGCCAAACTGAATGACAGCACCATCACATTCGAGGACGTGCAACAATTCTTGACATGGGCACACTCCGAATCCCATCTTGACCTCGCAAGCCATACGCAACAGCAAGACCACCTTGAAGCAGACTGGGCCCAGAACAACTGCAAAGCAAGCCACGATTTTTTGTGTCAGTGGCCCAAATTCCTTGCCGAGGACAAAGCGGCCAGTCCATGGTTGAACGCAGTGGAACCCAAGCAGGCATTGGCCGATGCAAGTCGTTTCATCCACCACTACCGTCGAGCAGCACAGAGCAAGATCAGCCATCAGCAGCTGCACTGGCATCCGTGGAACGTCACGCAGAAGTGTCGGTTGCCAATCGCCGGTTGCAGAAAGAAGGGGGCGCCAAACAAGTGTAAGCACAATTTTCCAAAAGTGCTGAACGAAAAAGTTCGAGTAATTTGCAGAGGGAACGCACGAAAATGTGCACAGAGCACTGCCGGGCGGCGGAATGCATTAGGCATGGTCTTAGACAAAAGAGACGATCCTTGGTTGTCAGGCACCATGCACGCATTCGCCCTCATGTTATTTGGCAACTCACACACCGCGATAAATTTTCGGGTGCCCTTGTCGGCGACCACCCACGACACCGACTGCACCCGAGGCTGCTTGGCAAAGAACATGCTCCCAAAACTGCAACGGGCGATAGCGCAAGCAGCCCGCCGGTCCACCAGATATTTCACCGGCTATTTGCAGAAGCCGCAGCCGCTGGGAAGAAAAGAATTGCAACAAGCGGCCAAGCAATTGCATTTCCTGGAAGAAGCAGCTGCCAAAGATGACCCTGCAGCACACTACCGCAAAGTTGTGCACAGAGTCTTCGGGGATCTCGAATTTCGTTGCTCAGTCCGCCCAGTCACCGAAGAATTCATGCTTGCGGGCTTCAGCAACATGACCGATCCCACCACCGCCGAGTGCATCCGGACTTTTCCCGTTGTCCCGTTTGTAGGAATCGAGTGGGTTGGTATATTAGACCTTGTCACAGACATTCGTCATAAAGTGGAACCCCCCAACCCGCACAAAAGTACTCTGAAGTCATCCGAAATATACGGGTGGCGGGGAACCGACGAGCGGGTGTTTCACTTGTCTCCGTGGGAGTTTATCAAATGGTGGAGTCTTAAAAAATTACAGCCGCCCACCAAAAATGCAACTGAAGACGGACAAGGGCTCAGTGTTTGGGTGAGGAAGCAAGGCACCGACCGGAAACCGGTGGATGGCTGGCAATATGGCCGTGATTACATTTGGAAACATCCCTTGCCAAATAGCCGAGCCGCCAACCTGGTCCGGCTACCGCAGTGCAATGGATGCAGTCGAGTGCAGGAATACTATCTGGAAAGACGGACCGAACCGCTGATCCCATATCCGACGACCTGTCCGTTGCCGAAGCCCGACATGTCCAAGGATGCACAGGCGAGGCTCCTCAATGTCTATCTGAGGCCCTGGACACTTGATCTGAAAAGTGCTACCCCGCATGTCCCGCACATCAGTGCTTTAGACTTAGAGATAAGAAGTAATAGTCTCAACCCGAGTACACGCTTGCGGACGAAGACAGCACCTGGTCCAAGAAGTCACCACTTAGCATGGAGAGCATATATCCAGCAGCACGTTGTGTCTGAACATGCAGCTCGCACTATTCGAAACTTTCTGTCCGCAACGGAGTGTGATCCAGAAGAAGTCGACCTGGCCGAAACACCAGCCAAGCCAACAGACCATGAAGTGGATACAACCTGGGTAACTTCTGACACCATCGATAAACTTGTCCGAGGTGTGGGCTTCGAATATTCGAAACGGTCAGGTCCAGCGGTACGCCGCATAGTTGAGGAATGGGAAGCTACTCCGCAGGTTGATGCAATAAACTCTTGGTTTGTAAACACTGGAATAACTGACATAAAGCTTGATCAGAGTCAAAGCAAACGGTAGCAACCGACGCCGTTGCCGGAGACCGAACCCCTGAGCTGGACCTACGGCAAGTTAACGCCAGAGTCTGCCACAGCATGGCTGCAGCGTCTCGCAGAGCAGGGCTCGGTGGCAGTCGATCCAGCCGCAGGCAGTGCAGAGCAGCGCTCAGCCAGTGCAGAACCGCGCGCAGCAAATGCAGAGCCGCGGTCAGCATGTAAACCCACGGCCGAACAACTGAAATTCCTGCGTGCTGTCGTCGACCGCTGCCTCACAGAGGCTCAAGAAGAACAGGCCGAAAGTTCCCGCAGTGAGCCTTTGCGTGCAGTGTTCCACGGGGTTCCAGGTGCAGGCAAAACCCAAACCCTCAAGTGGTTGCGTGCTTTTTTCGAAGATTTGTGTAGGTGGCAGCATCAACAAGAGTTTGTATACTTGGCACCGCAGAACACCCAAGCTGCACTTATTGCTGGCATGACGCTACACTCGTTTGCCAATATCCAGGTGAAAACCAAAACGGCCCGAGCAAAAAACACCAGCACACCGGAACAGTTCGCTAAGTATCAACGCCTACGGTGGCTGGTGGTGGATGAATCTTCGACTGTCGGGCTCGAAATATTGGCCACTCTGGAGAAACGCCTGCAGCAGTCTACCAGAGATCGGGATACGTGGAAACTTTGGCCAGGAGGAGAACGGAGGCCATTCGGAGGGCGCAACCTCATCTTGACCGGGGACTTGTGGCAGTTCCCGCCAGTCAAAGCCACAGCCATTTACCAGAACCCTTTCCAGTCAAACACAACCTTCCAAGTCAACGCACTGCAGCAAATCTGTTGGTCGCACACCTGGCTTGCCATCCCGCACCTGTTTGAGCTCACCCGCGAACAGCGGTGCGAGGACGCCTGGCTCAGCCAAATTCTTCACCAGGCGAGACATGGAAACATGTCGCAGGAAGTGTGGTCTTTCTTACACGGGTTTCCAACACTCCATGCGGGCTCGTGGTCCTTTCAAAACAATGAAGCCAGCTGCGGCCAAAAAACTTGCAACAACCTACATCTTCAACCCACTGCCCCCAACCAGTTGGAATGTGTAATTTGCCACCAAGAAAGGGCACGTCGATGCATCGTAGGCAAAGACCCAAAAGCCGAGCACTTCCTTAACCATCCGTTTGTGCATGGGCTGAATGCCGCCAAGTACATTGCAGCCAACCTTCGTGCCAAATGGGTCGCCAGCACTCGCAAGCACAAGTTGCTTTGGATAATTGCTCAAGATACCCCGCTTTTTCATGTGGAGGCGACGGAATTACAAGCCCGGCGCGAAAATTGGTTACAGCGCCATGACCAGTCCACCGGCGGTGTCGTCGGAATCTTGCCCCTTCTCCACAACATGCCAATCCGAGTCACGCAAACCCTGTCCGATCTGAAAGCTTTCGGGCTCTTCAAAAACACCCGGGGCATCCTTTGGAATTGGACACTGCACGATGTCGACAAAGACGCCGTCGAAACAGCAGAAGGCCGAGACATCGTGCTACAACGCCTTCCGCTGGCATTGTATGTCAGAGTGGCCGGGGCAAACTGGCAACAACATCCAGACCTGCCGGTTGGCGTCGCTCGGATTGAACCCGTCACCCAGACGTGGACGCTGGAAACGAACGGCAAAACTACCGTCTCTCGACGTGGCTTTCCAATAGCCTCCGATTACGCTGGCACGGCGCATTCGTTTATGGGGGCCACCCTCGGTGCATGCACATTGGACCTTGGCACGTGGGATGCCACGACCTCCCGCGAGGCACAACTAAGCGGGTACATGTGCCTATCAAGAGTCCGAAAAAGCGAAGATTTGTGTATAGTCCAACCTTTTTCCCCCAACTTGTTTAGTCATGGAGAGTTAATTGGACCCCACACATTCTTAGAAGTGCATCGCGAAAAGCTGACACTGGCACAGGCCAAAATTCGATTTGAGAAAGACAAGCCGAACAAGCAAAGGAATCGTGACATCATGTTGTTTTGCCGCGGTTGCAGCCCACAACCGCATCTACAAGAGAAACTGTTGCCACTTCGAGAATTCGTTTCGGCCTGGGACCAAGAGGAATGGTACCGTGTACTGTCAGAAGGCATGTGTCGCTTATGCACCCAGTGTCAAACGAAGCAGAGCAGCCCTGCAGCCAAGAGGAAGCCTAAGGAAGTGGGTTCCTGCGCATATTGCCAGACGTTGCCAGCCGACCAGACCGGCTACTGTTCGAAATGCGCCACCATTCGCTTAGCATGCAGCAAGTGTGATATCGGAAAAAAATCAAAACAAAAAGACTGGTAGATTTTACCCCGGAAGAGATCACTCGAAGAAAAAGAACCAAAGAACTCCGAAGAGCACGCTGTAAGAAGTGTGCCGTCGCCCCAGTGACCGCAACTGCAAAACAGGGTTTGTGCAGCAATTGCAACAAAGCCATCAGTGTGCCGCACCTTCTGAACTACAATGCAGAATCTCAAACCGGAGTCTGCCGTACATGCATGGCAAAGCAAGTGCGGGCACCGAAGACCTGCATACAGTGCGCGAAACCCTTGCATGCAAATGCAACTCCAGGGACTTGGTGCACTGCGTGTGCATTTCCCCCTTGCAGTGGAGGTTGTGGGCAACCACGCCCTCAAAAGTCATCCCACCATGCCAAACAGAAACCGCATTGGCTTTGTAAGAGCTGTAATGCAGCGCCCAAATGTGGCAACTGTGCCGGCCCTTTGCCGAGCCACGCAGAGGCAGGCACATGGTGTGCCACATGTGCATATCCACCGTGCAGTGGAGGTTGCGGCGAGCCTCGCCCCCAAAGACCAGCCAACCATGCAAAACACCTGCCGAAATGGTTTTGTCAACATTGCAATGCAGCGAAACACTGTGCCAACTGTGCCGGCCCTTTACCGAGCAATGCAGAGGCAGGCACATGGTGTGCCACATGTGCATATCCACCGTGCAGTGGAGGTTGCGGCGAGCCCCGCCCACATGAAAGAAGATACCACGCCCAGCACAAGCCGCTTTGGTTGTGTCAAGCATGCAGTGGACGCAATGGTTACCCGCCGTGTCCAATGTGCGGTCTGCAACGCCAGTCGGTACCATGTCAATGTCATGCCGCACTGGACCTGCGAAGCCTGCACGGTAAAGTCTTGTCCCAAGTGCGGGGAAGTTCTTGGTGCAAAAGCTCAAACGGATGCATTGTGTTTAGCGTGTGCATATCCACCATGTGAGAGCTGTGGGTCGCAACGCCCGCAAGAAAGTCGTTACCGTGTCAACGTCATGCCGCAGTGGACCTGCGAAGCCTGCTCAGTCAAGTCTTGTCCCAAGTGCGGGCAAATCCTTGGTCCAAAAGCTCAAGATGGTGCATGGTGTTTAGCCTGTGCATATCCGCCCTGTGAGAGTTGCGGTCGCCCACGGCCAAGGACGCACAGTGAATACCATGCGCAGGTCATGCCAACATGGACGTGCGAGGCGTGCGGCGGGAACAGCCATACTGACGGTCCCAAAGAAAAGGCTTCGCAGAGGTTAGTCGCCCATGCATCCGACGCCAGCCAACGGCATATGACATTTTTCCATAGCCCAACATGAGACGAGCTAAGCTTCCAAATGACAGAGATCAGCCACCACCCCCAACCCAGTTAATAATCTACCCCGGCATAGGCCCACGAAGAACTGGCAGAGAGGAACCATTTTTGATGCCACCTTTTACAGAATCCACGACAATCCGAAGCCAGTTCAGAACATTTCTTTGCATGGTCCCGCAAAACCACACGGCAGCGATGAACCATTGGTTCACCCACCGGTTGCTGCCTCCACTACCATCCTAGAAGCCAGTACTGCCCACAACAGGCAATCCAGACCGACACAACCGACGACACAGGGGAACCATTGTGTTAGCCCAGTTAATAAATGTTAATAATCTTACCCAACCCCGTCCCGGTTAATAAATGTTAATAATCTCACCCAACCCCGTCCCGCGAATCCACGGGGCCGCACTGAGCGAGACGAACCATTTTTTCAGCTACCGGTTGCAGAATCCACTACCATCCCAAGCCAGTTTAAAATCTTCCAAATGACCGCGAATCCACGGGGCCGAACGGAGAGAGACGCAGCCACCCAACTTAGCTTGGCCCCCGCTGCTGTCTTGCTTTCCCGTCCACTATTTTCGAGCGAGTGCCGGTGAACCATGCCCCGACACCGAATCTCCTTAGTCGCCCATGCATCCGACGCAAGCCACAAGACAGCGGCCAGAGCAGCGCTCAGCGCACAGTGCAAAGCAGTGGCCAGAGCAGCGCTCAAGCCCGCACAGCGTCAACCATCACCTGACAGAGATCTTGTCCGTCGCAGGCAGAAAACAAAAGCGCTCAGCGCGTGGTCTCGCAACCATGTCGAACTCAGCGCAAATGACCGCCACCGTACGCACCTCACACCGCGCCAGGTCTACCACGAGATCTAGCTGAGTCGGTGGGGGCCCGAACAACCCCTCCCTGTGCAAGACGGGGACCGGGACTTGGGGCATCCCGGTAGCATCCTCCCCAGTGGAGGGGGCTGACTGCCCTGGCTAGCGCAACGCAGCCATAGTCGGGTGAGCCGTCGCACAGACAGACGCAGCCACAGAGCTCGAGACCAAAGAAGCGGTGGTTGTTGGTATCGTTGTCGTCGTCGTCGGCGTCGGCGTCGGCGTCGTCGTCGTCGTCGGCGTCGTCGTCGTCGTCGGCGTCCTCGTCGTCGTCGTCGGCGTCGTCGTCGTCGTTGTTGTTGTTGCTGTTGCAGCCACAGAGCTCGAGACCAAAGAAGCGGTGGTTGTTGGTATCGTTGTCGTCGTCGTCGTCGTCGTCGCCGTCGGCCTCGTCGTCGTCGTCGTCG